ACAAGAATATCCAGTCCACCATAACTGTCCTGGAGGAACGTCTTTAGTTTACGAATCGTGTCCGGCTTTGTGATGTCCAGTTGATAGAACTTGGCGTTACAACCCTCTTTCTTCAGGTCCTCCACGGCTTTCAGACCAAGTTCCTCATTTCTAGCTGTAAAGATAGATTATGATTAATGCCAAGCTTCAAAAAAATAAAAAGAGTTGAAAGGCTTCATGTTAGAAATGCGACTTGCATTATTGATAATGAGTTCCATCGTTACGAATAAAAAATCAAGAAATCATTTAAAACGATTTTTGATGAGTTAAAATTAACCAGATGTGAAATATTAGCCATGACATTGATAGCTAATAACTGTAAATTTATTCAGTGACAATGTCACAGAATGATCAGTTCTAAACGAAAACAATTTTTTATTGAAAATAAATATTGTTCCTGTCGTAACATCTAACTATAAGACATCATACCAGTGATATGTTTGGTTGTCATGGTAACGGTGTGGCGTTAAAGATGTCAGATTAGATAGCATGCGACGAATCGTTTGTATATGAAATAAAGGTATAGGGAAATAACTCCTGCTGTAATATGCGATACATAATGTGTATCTTGCAGAGGTAGAATCTGTTCTACCTTGCAATATATATACATTAACATTATTATATATAAGGATCATACTACGTTGTGTAGGCACACATCAAATCCACAATCAAATATTGTGTTATCTTACCTGTAACGTAAACATCTCCTTCAAATTGTTTACACAGTCCCCGCACTACTGCGTATCCTATACCCTTGTTGGATCCGGTCACCTTAAAGCGATTATAAAGTCCAATCTTGAAATGAGGTTATTCATTGTTTATCAGTTAAACGACTTCTCATTGACCAAATATTCCCTTATGTCATAAAAAGATTTTGTTGTTTTCGTTTACCCCGAAACTTTTCGACAATATCGGACATAAATTGAAGTATGAGCATTGACAATTTTGTTGCTAGATTTTTGTAAAGTCGTTACACATACGAAATAATATAACATGATGGAAAATATTGAATTGATATGAGAAAAAGCGCGTTAAGAAATTGTCGATTAAATTACTGATACCTAACCAGTTTGAACAGCAAGCAGCAAACATAAGGTTTAACAAGAAGGTGTAATATACGTATATAAAACAATTGAAAGTTAGACTCTTATTAGAGTCCTGCTGTTTATATAAGGTACCACCAACTAACCATGATATGTCGTCAGAATTATTATATATCTTTACCGTTATTGCATTATACAATCCAACGATTCTGCTATAGGTTTCGCCTGGATTATGAGATAATCGGACTTTAGAATTACCCGGTTTAACTATATAACAAGTAAACTATATACATCGATTTATTTACACGTGAGCATGTCTTTGTACATATACATGACATTAGCATTGTTTTTAATACTTGTTTTTGTCCAACAATATATTATAAAAATCATTACATTTATACCATAACTTACCACGGCAACACGCTTACTTCCACTCATGTTCACAGTCCAATGCTGTACACTGTGACGTGACCAGTACGACAGCGTTACATAAACTGACCCCAGTAAAAATAAAATCGTTCAATAAACTGATAACATCCAAAGGGTTTATTTGTTGGATAGTAATGTATAAGTGTACCTACCAGGATTAATATCAACATACCATAGTAACATATTCAATGTGAATAGAAAACAAACAGTTTTGATGTAATCTAGAGGCTACGGAACAATTCAAACATCTTGACCTTATTATTGTACCGTCATGAACATATGTCGAATTTGTTCACGTATTTCATGCTTAAGCATAACCTGCATTTGGGGTACCTCTAAATAATTTTAAATCTTCCAAAGGGGCCCCCAGAGAGGGGCCGTTAGGCAACTGCAACTTCCTACCGCACTATGAAACCATATAATATGATTTCTAAGTCCGTAATCAAACTTATTGAACAGTAATTATTCATCATTATAAGTAAATTGCACACTTGCCAATATTCAGAATATATATTTATTTAGCTTGAACATATTTGTTGCCAATAAAATTGAACAAGGGATGGGGCACATTTTTTTTACAATTTATTACAGCCTCCTTCCGTCATACATTTACAATTAAATGTCAACAATGATAATAGGCATAAACATAAAGTACATATATATATAAATATATATTGAATTTAGTACCTGTACAGATGGTACGGGGCTAAACACCTTCCCTCAACCATGGGACAAACCTTTCTGTAAAAAGAAATATTCACGAGACGCATATCACTTTTAAAATATTTTTAGAAAGTGCATATATGCAATGACAAACTTCACGCGTATGATAAAAAGAGAAACGTTTGTTAATTTATTTGTAACATTGTACAACTCAATATCTTTGGCAAATTTGTTTTTCTAGACCATGCATATAAATGTATGTATACTCTCTTTCCCACTTTCACTGTCTCCATACGCTAACACTTCGTAAGTCATATTAGCCATCACACACAATAAACTGTGTGGCAAAACCACAACGTGTACATGTAGAATATGTGTCAATTATGGAACGTGTTGAGATACTTGATAATTATATTTTTTCAAAACTTTATAGATATTAAAGCATACTTGTAAATGGACCTATTTTATGTTGAGACAACTTTTCTTTTATCAGTTCCTTTTGTCCGAAACGGAAGCCATAGTTATCGGCAGCACGAGCCATTTTTACAACGTAATCAAATGTTTTCCCCCCTGTTTTCAATACGTATTCCGACTCTATCTGAAGTCGAAAATTAATTCTTTATAAAGAATGTTGTTACATGATCATACAGTCTAAGTCAACATCATATGAAAAATTACGATTTAAAAAAAAATGTTATGCGATCCTATTTATTAGAAGTAGGTTCTCCTTCCTCAGTTATTCATCTTGGTCCGTCATTTTGACATTTTTAATCTAGCTGCGATAACGTAGCTTTCTGACGAAGAGCGATGTTTTTATATATTGCGTCGTCGCGCCAGAGGATGCAGGGTATTAATATTAAATGTAGTACTAATTTAAATCTTGCATGTCAAAACATCGTTTAATTCAGCAATATAACTAAATCATACCATTTTACTGAACCCAGTAATATTATAAATTATGTAAATCTAATAGCGCACGTATCTCATTAGACCCCGAGTACCGACAGAGGAGAGAACAGAATACGCCGTAGCCATAACAACAGTATCCCATGGAGGGCTGCATGGCAAAATCAAACTAACCAGTCACTTATCCCTTCCTTTCGCATAATCCACTGTATAATTATTAAAACACAAAGTAAATTCTCTCCGATAAATGCCCATTAACATATAAAACTAAGTTCATCTGTGTTCAAACTCAGATAGCGAGGTTAATAGTTTTAGATATTTATTCATAACATAAACAACGCTAGCATTTCTGTCGATTCCATTTCAGCTTAACCGGCTATCCGGAGGAATACATGCACCGTACTTACTGCTAGGGCAGTTATTTTTTGCTTTGAATACTTCCCACCTCCAATTATGATTCAGTAACGTACTCCTTGCACTATCTTTTGACCATTTGGCAACTTTTCGCTTCGTAGCTGACACGGTACAACACTTTTCTTTCGATTACTTTTCACGGCCATTTATTTTGTTTACAAAGAAATGGTGTTCTTTGCGCATGCGCTAGTAGAGGAAAATCCCTGAACAAAACGTTGGTCAGACAGGTAGAAATACCGATGATTATTTTAGATTTAGTCATTTTTAATGAATCTAGTTCAGCCAAACCCGATCGTTATTTTCCATAAGGATTCTGATTTGATATATTTAGTTAGTATTTGAAAAAAAAAAAAAAAAAAAAGTAACTTCACCGTGATGCCCCTTCAACAGGTAGGTAAAATACTATCTTTAACAGTTTCCAATCATCGAATATGCTGAAGTACTTTTTAATAAGTAGTTGATATTTGGCTTTGTTACATATAGGGACGTGATCGACAGGTCGTTTTCTATCAACCGAATAGAGCTCCTCTTTGACTTGAACTTATTGCTTGTTATCCATTGATCAAGTCGACGAATCGACACGGAATGGTTCCAATATGTTTTTTAAGCATTTTACGCCCTTTGGAATATGACGTCACTATTCCATTATTGACGTCGTTTTATCCGGAAAGACTGTTCATCACATTAATCATGATTTGCACAACTGGAAAGTCAAACCTTAGTGATAATATGCTGAAGTACTTTTTAATAAGTAGTTGATTTTTGGCTTTGTTGCATATTGGGACGACAGTTTTTTTTCTATCAATCCAATAGAGCTCCCCTTTGACTTGAACTTATTGCTTAGGATAGCTTCCCCTTGACCACACTTTACCATGATAGGTATCCTTGAGTGCAGAGAAGCCTCATTTGGATAAAAAAGGTAAACTTCATACCATCGCAATTTTTCGCAAAGCATATATATATATAACATTTATACAGGGTTATAATGAGTAAAACTTCACAGAAAAATGATATTTTAATAACATTATAAAATATGTAATAAATTTGTTTTTCAATATAATTTCTTAAAATCATTAATGGCTAGCAGATACACATGAACTTCTTATCAGTGATGAATGTTGCGTCCTCGAATAATCAACAGAATATACTAAATGTGTCATACCTTCGTGTAATTTTGCAAATATTTAATGAAATAAATACAACTTCTTTTGTTATGTAAAGCTGGAATTTCAGAATTTCAGTGATTTGTGTATAGGATTGCTGTTTGAACATTCTAAATAAATGGATGGATGAATGAATTAATGGATGAATCAATCAATCAATCAATCAATCAATCAATCATACGATTAAGCAATCAATGCGGACCAAGTGATTAACAACAGATATACATGATAACAAATGAAGTTTTAAAACTACAAGAAACAATAAGAACAACAGAAAATATATTTGTTTTTGTTTTATTTTCCTGAAAATTTTCCATTTTAAGGACTTTCTTCCGACACCGTCAGTATAAAATTATAAAAAATGACATTTCAAATCCAGGACGTAGAAAAAAAAAGAAAATGTTTTTTTTTATCCATTATGATACTGTGCACACTGTGATATAATTTCCTTCAAACGTTAATATAAGAGCTCTTTTTTATGCTTGAGTTATCTCCCATTTGCCGATGGTCCTGTCAGATACGAACTCCCCCTTTGGACTGCTCGTGTTTGGAGGGAGCGTGGCGAGGTACAGGAGTGTGTCGGCACCTTGAAACAAGGAACGATATTTCAAACGTTTTTGTTTTACATCTAATTGTCTTAAAAATGCATTTTAACATTATTTTTTTTAGAAGTGATGTTTTCATTTTGTCTTGCTGTTTCTTCACAATGTGTTCATGTCAGATTATACATTATTTTTGTACTATCGTAGCTGGAAATAGGTTGAGCTTTTTGATAAGTTTCCAAACGCTACCGAAATACAATGCGTCATTTTTTTTTACGTTAGATGACGTCATTTGTTTTCCAAATTTCTTCCAAATAAAGAAAATGTATTAAATGAAACATCATTTGGAACTGTACGACTTAAGCTCTTATTTATCCAAACACCTGACAAGTAGTTTTGTAAAGCAGTATTATACGATGCATATTAACGTTTGTTTTACAGCATTAGTAATGATTTATTTGAATTCTCCTTTGGTTACACTTTTTATGGTAAAGGAAGTCGTGGTTAATTATATGAAATATTGAATCATGCATAATATCACCTTCATCGATGGTTTTCGTTCCTTTGTGTGACGACATATCGGTATCCACATAACCGGGGCAGCACTAAAATATAAAGAGATGTTTCATTACATTATCGCTGCAAGCCCGTTTCAAAACACTGTATGAAGAAATTACATTCATCGGCCTATGTTAATATTGGATTATTTGAACGGATTTTAGCATTAACTAAGGCATAAACGCAAACCGGCATTAGTCATATTAAACACGAAGTTATAGAAGATTTATATGACTTACTTATATAAGACACAAACTATTGCTAGAATAATCTCCCTTCTATAACGAATTATCTTTATTTGTTCCTAATTCACAGGTACTCCTGTGTTAATAAGTCATATACTATCTTGTACTTTTCCAATATATTATGTAATCAATTAAACAAAGCCAACTATTATATATTTTACAGATTCATTTTCGTGAAACTGTTTGACACAGGGATCATATATATTTAAAATATTTTCAGGTGTAACGTACAATATTCTTTATCCTATTATATTCTTTAAATATATAAGCAATGCAATATTTCGGGTTTAAAGTGAAAAACTAAAAATCACAACTTCGTCTGATAATGTCACAATCTTCCTTTGAATAAAATTATTATTTTAACATAACATGATGGAAATATATTTATCATTCAAAAATCGATTTTATATTTTATGAAAAAAAGAATATAATACAATTATAAAGCATACCGCATTGACAACAATGTCTGCCCTGGCGTCTTTCAGCAATTCTCGCTGCTGTATAATAGACATAACGGTCACACCGATCTTAGAGCAGCCGTACGCACTTTCTGGCCAGCCGAAATCCCCATGGGTCCCCGCCTTTGCTGAACTAAAAGAACAGATGTATGGAATCAGTGCTTAATTTCAAAAGTAGTCCTGATATTTTCGAGATTCTTGCAGGCTTATATTTTGTTTCACAGATCGCGTTGGCTGTTATAAACTAATCACATTTAAATGTACTGACATTATACAATGATTTGTAGGAAGATGAATACAAACAGCAATTGGACAGTTTATTGAGGAGGCAGAGAATTTCATGTTTGTTTAACGGATATATCATAATGATAACATAGTGACATTGACACGCATGTGACAGGAGTATCTAACCTAATGTCCATTGTACATGATATACCTACTCTACAAATTGCTTTAGGAGAGTCTTTGTATCTTCCATTGTAATACGTGTTCGGTCTACCAGTTTCTTCTGTAGATCTACGCTGCATTTCTTTAGTGCGAATTGAGACGCCATACTCGATACATTTACGACTCTGAAATAATACATCATATTAATATTATCAAATTTACATTCAATAAACTAAAACGTGATACGCGTATCATGTGTAAGGAAATTTTATTACATCTTTAGAAAGAAAAGTTTGTAACTATTCTATAGTACAGTTTTGTGACTAAACTGTCTGGAATTGTTCAATGTGTTTGCTAAAGTAAGCATACATAACATTGCATGTTATCACCTAACGATTAATGTAAATACCTGTATAAAATGTTGTATGGGCCTTCCAAATCCCATTAAAGAATCATGAAGTTGAACTTGTGTTAGGAAATAGTTTTTTGGTTATAGGTAGCAGAGTACAGTAGAAATGGCTTGTCCTTAAACAAATAAATGGCATGTCTCGGATAGCGGATTCATCCTGCACAACACACCTACATATATGTATATATATATATATATATTTATAAACTACATTTTGAACACGTTTCTTTTAGAAGAATGATTTTTTTTCAAAAAGTGATTTCCCCAGATTTAAGACTTGTGAAAAACATGGTTACCACATCAAAAAACGCCAAAAAGTGCAAAATAAAAGGATTTTAACCCAACATTTGGCCCACGCAAGTAGTATGTCTTTTTCTTAAAACCTGTCTTAAATTAGATATCACCTACTCGGTAAGTAACATAAATACTCACGTTTTAGCATAGGTCGTTCAGCTAGATTTTTCACAATATTTACACATGTGCTGAGTACAAAAATAAACTACATGAAAAGCTAGCTTTTGTTGTGTACACAGATTTGTAAATGGCCAAAAATGTAGTCTCAAGCCAAATTCGATTTTTTTTCTTCAAATGTGAAGCCCACATAGTCCAATTCATCATGTATATGAAAATTTTAAAGCTGTTTTTTTTTTAAAGTTTTGATACGCGTTATAGTACAGGGGTTATTCATTGTACAAAAATATCACCCATGGTCACCATACGCTACTGTATACTGCTAACTTATACATCACTTTCCTTTTCCCCAAATTTTAACAAAACCTTTTTAATATACGGTCGCCACGGGCGTGGGAGGTAGGAGATGGCGTTTATATACAAAAATCACGTTATCTTACAAAATCAACAGAAGAAGTATGAACAAAACCGTAGTTCGAACTCAGAATCAATACAAATACAAAATAGCACAGGAAAGTTTAACACTACACATTGAAACAGGGAATAAGACCAAGTGTTTCAGAAGGGTAAACGTATTCAGCTTTATTAACGACACACTCACAATGCAATTAGCACGCCCTCTTAGCAAAATAAGATATTTTTGTAACAATGTAAAATAATGAGCATAATCAAAACAATGGATCTATGATAGAATATTCCCCAATTAGACCATGATGTCGACCATAGAACATATAGACCATAGTATTCATCAAACTGCATCCCTCGAAAATCTTTATAATCATATATTCAAAGTAAGCACTTGAAGACCGGATCAACTGTGACATTTAACAACGTAGGTTCGGAAGAGAGATGATACTATCAAAAAAGGAAAGTTCATGTGCGGAGAATCTAAATCACTACGTTTAAATAATGTAGAACAAACCTTTAGTGATCTTAATTTTAAGTATAGGTTGATCTACTCTATTAACGAGGTCAATAGTGTTTTTTGCTATTGCTACAAATTGTTTCCTCATTCTGTAAGTTTCTACGGTAAACGCAAATGGAAAGAAAATCAGCGAGCACGTTTTGATAATAATTCATATCCAGTGGTATGAGTATCTTTTAATTTTAATCAACGAGCTTAAGCGGGAAGATTATGTTTAATAATCAAGTCATAAGATTATATATCAATCATTCTGACGGATTGGATATTTAATTTATCTAATATATTACTGTAAGAAGCTCTAACTCTTTGTTTACCAAACACATGATTTAACTTCTCTGATCGGATCGAAATCTGATGTTAGTCGTGATGGCACGATGTGAGTAAGAAGTGTGATATCACAAGCATTATTTTCATTCACGCTGTAAAACAAATCTAAAACTTGAAATGTATCCCAACTTTCTTTTAAACTAAAATATATCCGGATCTACCTTGCGTGTGGCCTGAGAAGTGGGAATAGTTCCTCACAAACATCAAGTGTTCCTGTGAAATTTGTTCGGATAGTTACTTCCGCCTGCTCAGCGAATGGTGCAGTTGATGATTGCTGAGAATGAACAATTGACATGATTAAAATTAAAATTAAACGAAATTTAATGTTAAAATAGGTAGTTTTAGGAAAACTGACACACAGAAGCTAAACTATGAAACTAGTTTGTATATGCAAATATTTTATAATATTCTTTTTACTGATTGCATAGGTAGCTCACATAACTAGATGAACATAGGGTTGGTCATGTTCATGCAATATGCTGTGCTAAAATGCAATACTTACAATCACTTAATCGGTATTACAAAAAGCATATGAGGATTTCATAGAGTGTTCCAAATTTTAGGAAAGTATCTTTATTATCTATATTATAAAACAGAATGTTTTATTCTGTTCTAATACTTGAAATGTGTACAACATAGTAATATTAAATGGATTAACCTTTTATGAATATGTGGAATTTTACTTTATATGCAACAGGATATTTGGTTCTGTTTTAATATTTACAAAGTGTGTATAACTTAGCTATATCAAAAGATTAACCCATTATGAATATGTGGAATTTTACCTTGTATGCAATTCCTGCATTATTAACCAGAATGTCCAGTCCGCCATAACTGTTCTGGAGGAATGTCTTAAGTTTACGAATCGTGTCCGGCTTTGTGATGTCCAGTTGATAGAACTTTGCTTTACACCCCTCTTTCTTCAGATCCTCCACGGCTTTAAGACCAAGTTCCTCATTTCTAGCTGAAAAGAGATATTATGATTATGCCAAGCTTCGTAAAAACAAAGTAATGATCGATATTTTAGCATTTCACTACATTCAGTTGACATTCATAGTTTATATGAATTCAAAAAAATAAATGACCTATTCCAAGCATGATACGGCTTCAAGTTAGAAATGACACTTGCAGTTGCATTGATATTGATAATGAGTTCCATCTTTAAATAAAAATCAATTAAGCATTTAAAATGATTGATCTAGATGTGAATACACTAGCCATGACATTTACAGTTAATATGAATGCTATCTAAATACGGTAAATTTTTCAGCGCAGTGTCATAAAATGATAACATCTTTTTTTTTTTTATTGAAAATAAGCCATATTGTTGCTGTCGTGACATCTAGCTATAAGACATCATACCATTGATATGTTTGGTTGTCATGGTAACGATGTGGCGTGAAAGATGTCAGACGAATCGTTTGTATAGCAAAGGTATAGGGGAATATAACTCCTTCGGTAATATTCGACACATAGCTTGTATCATATATAAGGATCATACTACGTTGTGTAGGCACACATACAATCCAGTCAAATACTGTGTTATCTTACCTGTAACGTAAACATCTCCGTCAAATTGTTTACACAGTCCCCGCACTACTGCGTATCCTATACCCTTGTTGGATCCGGTCACCTTAAAGCGATTATAAAGTTCAATCTTGAAATGAGATTATTCATAGTTTATCAGTAAAACGACTTCTCATTGACAAAATGTTCCCTTTTGTCATAAAATTTACTAACGTTATGTTGTTTTCTTTTTCTCGAATACTTTCGACAACATCGGACATAAGTTGAAAGTATGAGACATTGATAATTTTGGTCCTAAAATTTTGTATAGTTTATACACATACACAATTGTCGATAAAATACTGATACATGTACCTAACCAGTTTGAAAAGCAAGCTGCTAACAATAATGTTTAACAAGCAAGGATGTGTAATATACGTATATAAAATAAAATGAAAGTTAGACTCTAATTAGAGTCCTTCTGTTTATATAAGGCACCAACAAATAACCATGATATGTCGTCAGAATTATTAAATATCTTTACCTTTATTGCATTATACAATCCAACGATTCTGCTATAGGTTTCGCCTGGATTATGAGATAATCGGACTTTAGAATTACCCGGTTTAACTATATAACAAGTAAACCGTATAAATCGATTTATTTACAAGTGAGCGCGTCTTTGTACATATACATGACATTATCATTGCTTTTAATACTTGTTTTTCCCAACAATATATTATAAAAATCATTACATTTATACCATAACTTACCACGGCAACACGCTTACTTCCACTCATGTTCACAGTCCGATGATGTACACTGTGACGTGACCAGTACGACAGCGTTACATAAACTGACCCCAGTAAAAATAAAAATCGTTCAATAAACTGATAACGGCCAAAGAGTTTATTTGTTGGATAGGACTGCGTAAGTGTACCTACCAGGATTCATTTTAACATACAATAGTAACATATTCAAAGTGAATAGAAAGCAAACAGTTTTGATGTAATCTAGAGGCTACGGACCAATTAAATCAACTTGGCCTAAATATTGCACCGTCATGAACATATGGCGAATATGCTTACGAAATAGTGATAGAAAGGTCTCCTTTAAATGTTTCAGAAATGTTAAATAGAACGATGATCGGGAACATTCGTTTATTCACGAAGAAACTCCGCATAACTATTGATTCTGTTAGCTTGATAAAGCTGATATCTTAACAAATCTTACCAAATAAAAATTAGACAAATACTAAAGCGGTGATAATTTAATTCAAATTGGTGGATGTCTTAGTTTTTTAGCGTGACATCGTTAGAAAATGGCGTCAAAGATAACTCTATTTATCCCCGCCCTTGGTGCACAATTATATTTTCGTCCCTGTAGGGGCAATGTTGTGAACAAATTGTATTGTTTAAATGATAAAAGGCGTTCCCATGAGTACCAAATTGATTTACTCCCTTCGCCTAATAAACCATTAAGTTTAATCTGATTGCTATGACAACATATTAATATAAATGTAGTACAACTGTTTTGTCAGTAAGATATATGGTATGGCAATACATTATTATATTAATTAATGCATTTTCTGCTTAAGTGATGATTGAATATTTTATTTCAAAGTATTTAAAGATACAGCAAGATTTATATTGTCGTGGATTATTGAATAAACTACATGTTATAAGTTCCCGCGGTCTTGAGTAATTGTACTTGACGTCATAAAACAATTGACGTCATCATTGATTGTTTTGATTTGAAAAGTCAGTTGAAATACAGATAGAAAGAGAAGCAGCCGTGTTACGTTTTATGTTAAGTTACTTCCTGTTGTATAGATGGACAAATCCGCTTAACTCATTATATATATACTCCAGCGTCAACACATAGGATTAACATAAGAAAAAAGATCCATGGCGTAAATTCGCAAGAACAAAATCCTCAATTTAATTATACCAAAGCACAAGGACAATCTTTGAACGAAATGCCAACATTAGGAACAAAGGAGACAACAACACATAACAAAATGATTAATATACCCCATGTGAACAAAATGTACAGGAAATGATTTTGTGTATTTTGAATATGGACGGTTTACTTAATATACTGAAAGAAAACTGAAAATTCTGAAGTATTGGATGAAATTAAAAACTACAAACAACTGTGTCTAAAAAGCCTTCTAAGAACAAAGAATTCAGTTGTATGATAAATGGATAATAAATATCAAAACTGAGTTAGAGAAATTAGGGTTAGCTTATATATGGTATGGTAGCGAGATGGAAAATTGTACATTAAAGATAATAGAATATAGATCTAATAATGTATACAAGCAGGAATTGCTATTTAAAATTTGTCAAGAATCACGTGGTTACTTATATCAACATTTAGTTGATGATACAGTATATGTTTACAGTATTATTTATGTAAATCTATTGATTCAGTGCACAAAACATGTTTATGAAGCATGAGACTATCACCGCATAATCTTAACATAGAGAGGGGTAGACATGATAATATTCCCAGACATGACAGAATGAGAACATGCTGCAGTTTAGCCGAGATTGAAGATGAATTCCTATTTTTACTTTTATGCCCATTTTATTCAGATTTACGTCAAAAAAATATTAAGAAATATTATTTTCGAATAGCTAGTGTATTCAAGCTAGTTCAGCTATAAAGTGTAAACAATGTAAAGGAACTAAATAAAACGGGAAATGTTTTACATTTGGCATTCAAGAAAAGAAAAAACAATATATTGAAGGGTTGATTATGATACTGTTTAATTTGAGCATGTACACACTCCGTTATGTATTGTATACATTTATGTTGTATTCGAAGGCCTACGGAATAAAGAACATTGAACAGTGACTATTGAATACATAGGTTCAACATCGGAAAATAATATTCCATTACGTGAATATACCAGGACAAAATCGAACCTCAATTTTAATACACCAAAGCTTCAAAACACAAGAACAATCTCTGACCACAATGCTTATATTAGGAACAATGGAGACAAATGTGAAAAATGCACCCCAAGGATGCGTTTTGGAAGAGAAGACATTTCCTGACCATATGTGGCACCATCTATATTGATTCCTTGGAAATCCAGGTGAAAATGAAGGTAATCCATGAAGTAGGAACTTATTATATACACCGAAGTCAGTAAATATCACAAAGCGGTAGTCAGGTGAGGATGATGTCCATTACATTTCTGGAGGTTAGATTCATATTTTGTCGTTAGAAAACCTTGGCTAAATAGTTTAAATAGTTCAGAAAAAAATGCTACTTGTGTGGGTCAATGTTTGGATTAAAAATCATTGTTTTTATTTGCATTTGTTTTTTTTATGTTTTTTGATGTGGTAACCATGCTTTTCACAAGTCCCAAATCTAGGGAAAACACTTTTTGAAAAAAAGGAAACGTTTTTCTAAAATTAAATGTATTCAAAATGTAGTTTATAAATATATAGATACATGTAGGTGTGTTGTGCAGGATAAATCCACTATCCATGTTTATCTGAGACATGCCCTTTACTTTTAGGATCAGACCATTTCTACTGTACTTTGCTACCTTAAACCACAGTGATACAGCTTGTTTTCAGGGCATGCGTTACCAGGTTCAGTTCTTCACGCTGTGATTACACCAGAACCAGAACTCTCTGTTGGTTTGAATTTATTGGCTGTTATCCATTGATCAAATCGACGAATTGACTCGAAATGCTTCCATTTTTTTTTTACCAGTTAACGTTCTGGTAACATGACGTCATTATTCGATTACTGACGTCATTTTATCCGTCATTTTTTTCTGACATCAGTACCGATATAGTGACCACGTCTATGGATCTTTGCATTCATATCGTGGTTATGATGTTTGATTGCATAAATAGAAAGAGGATTAAGATTAATCCTCTGTTTTGCTTATCTCCAAGTTGACAATGGTCCTGTCAGATACGAACTCTCCTTTAGGACTTGTCGTGTTAGGAGGAAGCAAAGCCAGGTACAGTGGGGTGTCTGCACCTAAAAGTAAATAAAACAGTTTAATAAAAATAGTTTAACGTAATTAACGATATACTTTTCTATATATACATATTGTCAAATAAAAATATGAAAATTTTGCAATAGTTGAAAAAAGTGAAGAATTTTAGATGACCCTGGCCGTTAATAGGACGTTAAACAAAATAAAACCAAACTATAAGTCAAATGTATAAGTGCCTGCAAATTTACATACAAGTCAGCTTATTATTGGTTAAATTTATTTTCTTCAAATTGAAGAAAAAATACAGATGAAATGCGATTATATAAATTATCATTACATATCAGTAAGTTACCTTCATCGATGGTTTTTGTTCCTTTTTGTGAAGACATATCGGTCATCACTAATCCTGGGCAACACTAAAATAATGAATAAAACATTATTGGTATCAGGATATTTAAAACATTTACACCTTTAAAAGTTATCTGTGCTAGATCTATTTTCTTCTGAAAAGTTTTTATTTGCAGCACCTTATGATAAACGATTCCGAACATTAACAAGGTGAGATTCAAATATTATTGGCTTTTATCAACTTATGGCCGTTTTATATTCGTGCCGCTAATGTTTTGTGCATACACGGTATATAACCCACAGACATGTCGTTGTCTTCTAAAGATCCCTTTTTTTCTTGAATATTTCCGTTTTCAATAAGGGAAATGATAGTTTGTAAAAATTTTACGTATGGAGGAACTTGCACGTGTATCCGTGTCATATTGGATGTATTACAACAAGTTTAATAATGTAATATGACACGTGCCTTCAGGCGAGTACCACATCAAATTATTGAACGAGTTAAATAAATTCAAAGTGACATGGACACGATGTGAGTTTCTATTTATCACATAAATTTCATAATTTAGAAAAAAGATAACAATTATGTGTTATCAGCTGACTCTATATAGGTAAAAACTAAAATACTCCTATCAAAGTATTGTCTTTTCGCGCAATGCAAAGTATTCAAAGATTGAAAAAACCCGATGCACCGTTTTAAATGCAATTAATAACGACAAAATACACATTTCAAATTCATTTAATAGCAAAACATTAACATTTATCAGACCAAATGCAGTTAATTAAAGGTAGTACCTAAAATGGTGTAGGATTACTACGATTTTGACCAATCGCAGCACCTTTAGGTTTTATTAAACGTGAGCACTACCAAATTAAATTTATGAATTGGAAAATGAATCAATGATGTGATGAAAATAAAAATGCAGCTTCACTTCCTTAAAACTGATTCCACGACACGTTATTTCGAAATATTATAGGGTGAAGTAGATTATAACGCATCAATGCATTGCAAAATTGAAATCAAACACATTCACAGATATAGTAAATAGTATAGACTTTCTAATAGGAAAAAAAACATGCTTAACTCATTATTGTGATAAAGCAATTAATGAGTAGAATGTAATTAAGCTATTTAAGACGTTAATTTACCATAACGCCTGTATTGAATTTGTGGAAAATGTTCTACAATAATTATACCGTGTTGATAATAATGTCAGGCCTAGCGTCCAAGAGTAAATTTCGTTGTTGAATGATGGACAGGACGGTCACTCCTAGCTTAGAGACACCATATGCCATTTCTGGCCAGCCCAGATTCCCATATGTACCCGTCTTCGCTGAACTGGTGGAATAAAGACATAATCAATAAATCGTTGCGAGCACACATCATGGGAAATTAATTATTGAATCAGTAACTTTTCTTTCGATTCGTTAAGAGAAATAAACGCTTTATTACAATAAATTTATGAATACAAAATCACAAAATACAAAATATAAAATACGACTTGAAGTATACAGCAAAATAAGGGATATTTAATTGCAAATTTCTAAAATAATCTTTGGATCTTCATCAAATATGAAAAACATACTCAACGAATTGTTGCATGAGATTCTTTATATCAGCAATTGTAATACAATCTCTGTCTACTAGTGTCTTCTGAAGGTCCTCACTGCATTTTCTAAGTGCGAATAAAGACATCCTCCCAGATATATTAACCACTCTGAAACAAGGAATTACGGAATCTTCAGATGCCGTATCAAATCAATATTAACCAAAACAAAATGACTTTTTTACCTCTCTGTCATTTGCTTTCTTTTCATTCAAAAGTCATCGCACAATGTTGTATTTATTCTCCCATTAGCTACACTTACAATTAGTTTATTTGGCTACCCCTACCTGGCAGTTTAATTAGATATCCCTACCTGGCAGTTTAATTTGCTTCATCAACCTTGCAGTTTAACTGACTTCCTCAAGCTGGCAGTTTAATTGGCTACCCCTACCTGGCAGTTTGATTGGCTATTCCTACCTGGCAGTTTAATTGGCTTCCCCAACCTTGCAGTTTTATTCGCCTATCCCCTAGTTGAATTTGCTTCCTTAATTGTCAATTTAAATGGTTACGCACCTTTCAGTTATATTGAGACTGTCTCTCAGTGGTATTTTAACCGTTAGTCTCGTGTCAGGTACATTATCCTATTGGCTATCCCCGATTGCCACACATGTAATACGTGTTATATTATTGTTTAAACATATGTTTTTTGTACGATTTGGTCTCTAATTACAAGTCCTGAGATAAAATCACGTGTCGCAAGTTTTTCACGTTATGCCTACTACAGTACATCTCCTCCTTGTCTATTCGAGGCTTCTTCAACAATGGTCTAACATGTGCCTTTTTGAAACACACTGGAACCTTTGACTCAGCCAATGCTTTGTTCGTGATTGAGGTAATTAAAGGAAGCAGTGCTTCGACACATTGCTTTAATAGGTTTGTAGGCAGTGGATCAAGTTCACAGGACTTCGATTGCGAGGTCATGATGATATTGCGCAACTCATCCTGGGTTGTTGGTGAGAGCTTTGTCAATAGTTCCCCATCAAATGTAGTGTCAGCAGTCATGACAGAGATATCATTGTCAGCAGTAGAGTTCACTTCGGCAATATTTCCTTATCGAGCTGATTTTATTCAGAAAGGTATCACTGAACTTGTTTGACAAGTCTTTTTTAGAATTACAGCTTGGTAGGATAATATCACCTTTCTGACTATTAGGTTTTTGGTGAGTCTAAAAATCTAAAAAGGTGTCTATGGTCCTTACCACATTCTTCGATTCTTTCCGAATAAAAAGCCTTCTTTGACTGAATGAGAAGTGACCAACTAGCCGACATTGCTCCCTATAAATCTGTTCGTGAAGGTATTTGGTCATTCGCCTCTGTCTCTCTACTTTTCTACGGTTTTGTTTTTCTACGCGGAGATTTTCATTATACCACGGGGCATTCGGTCTTACAGTTATAACCTTAGTCTGAATGACTGAGCTGTTTTCCCTTGTTGTGACCACAACCAGTGTATGACCATTGGTGTGTGTAGATTCTGTCACATGCTGAATTAGACCCATGGAATCTAATAGCCCAGAGAACTGGCGAGCATCAACATTAGATAGAACGTGAAGTGAAAATGTACGTCACTCGTTATTATAATTTCTTGTGGTACAACAACTTGGTGGTCTAAAAAGGTAGACCACCCATCAAATAACACTGTATTTCGGAAAACATTCTGATTAGATGGAGGAGGCCTGTAAATGATACACAATCTAAATTGTTTATCATCAGCAATGACAGAACAAGTGATGTGGATTCATCATCATGACTGGAGAGAGGTGTCTCACACTTAAGCCTTTCTTAAACAGAACGGCCACCCCACCACCACGTTTGCCGAAGTCTAGTATAAGGTATATAGTATTTACTGTATAAACATATCGATTTCTTAAAAAAATTACAGTCAAAATCAAACACAATTCCATGATCTACCTTGCGTTTGACCGCAGAATTGGGAACAGTGTATCACACACATCAAGCGTCCCTGTGAAATTTGTCCGGGTAGTTACTTCCGCCTGTTCAGAGAATGATGCAGTTGATGCTTTCTAAAACAAGAACATTGACATTAAATTAGAAACTTAACCAATGTCAGTATAGGTCGATTTTGTAGTTCATTTTTTAGTGAAACATATGAGTTGACTGAAATGCACGAAGAAAGGATTTTCATTTTTATACAATATGCTTTGCTGAAATGTAATACTTGAAAATTATACATTTCATTTTATATACCGATAATGAGGTATTCAAGTATAAAAAAAAAAATCATAGCGTTATTTTTTTTTTTAAATTGTCATTACTTTCTATTGAATACTTAAAGATAGTATACAATCTAAGGAAATAAAGGCATTAATTAATAATCACATAAACACAAATTTACTTTGTATGAAATGCCTGCATTATTGACCAGAATGTCAAGTCCACCATAACTGTCCTGGAGGAATATCTTCAGTTTATGAATCGTGTCCTGCTTTGTGATGTCCAGTTGATAGAACTTGGCGTTACATCCCTCTATCTTCAGGTCCTCCACGGCTCTAAGACCAAGTTCCACATTTCTAGCTGTAAATATAGATTATGGTTAATGCCTTTGAAGGCTTTAGAGAATTTAAGAGAAATTATTGATATTTAGGCATTAAACTATTCAGGTGGCATTCATAGTTTATATGAATGCAAAGAATAAATGACAAACTCCATTAAGCGAAACACGACTTCTTGTTAGAAATGTAAATTGCAGTTGCATTGATATTGAGTATGAGTTTCACCTTTATAATAATCAATTCATAATTTTAATCCATTTTTGTAAAAAAAATACTCATTGAAAATGATATGAATTAAAAGAAAAATAAACATTTAGTTCATGTAATTATTAGAATTGAGTTAACTATTTTTTTTATAGATATAACATCTTCAAGGTACGTTAATTGGATCCACAGTTCGATTATACGATTAAAATAATCAAAACGTTAACACGTGAGCCACGACATTTATAGCTGTTATGAATGCCATCTGATTTCGGTAAATTTATATAGTGACAATGTCATGAAAGGATCTGTTCTAAACGATAACACGTGTTCTTGAAGACGAACCACATTGTAACTGTCGAGACGTCTAGCTATAAGACATCTAACCAGAGGTATTTTTGTTTACCATGGTAACGATCTGGCGTTAAATATGTCAGACTTGATAGCATGCGACTCATCGTTTTTACATTATTTGTACCTTACAGAAGTGATCTCTGTATTACCTAGTAAACTATTTACGTTTACAGTATTATATATAAGGATGCTTTTACGTTTTGTAGGCACACGTAGAAGCCACTATCATGTTATGTGTAATCTTACCTGTAACGTAAACATCTCCGTCAAATTGTTTACACAGTCCCCGCACTACTGCGTATCCTATACCCTTGTTGGATCCCGTCACCTGAAGCGATTAAAAAGTATAATCTTGATGTGAAGTTGTTAATTGTTTATCAGTTAAACGACTCACCATTAACCAAATGTTCCCTTAAAATTTACTAAGATTTTGTTCTCTTCTTTGATTTTACCAAATAATTTCGAAAATATCGTACATAACATTGCAAGTATGAGCATTGACAGTTTTGTTCCTAGATTTTGATATAGTCTATACACATACAAATAAACTGACATGATGGCAAATTTTGACTTAATAGGAGTAAAACATATTAAGAAATTGTTGTTAAAAGTACTGATACTTAACCAGACTGAATAGCAAGCAGCTAACATAAGGTTTAACAAGCCTTTATTGGCATCTACACAATCCAACAAGTCTGCTATAGTTTTTTGACTGGATTATGATATAATCGGACTTTAGAATTACCCGGTTTAACTATATAACACGTACATTATATAAATCGACTTATTTACATGTGAGCGTGTCTTTGTACATATACATGACATTAGCATTGTTTTTAATACTTGTTTTGTCCAACATTATATTATAAAATCATTACATTTATACCATAACTTACCACGGCAACACGCTTACTTCCACTCATGTTCACAGTCCAATGCTTTACACTGTGACGTGACCAGTACGACAGTGACCCCATTAAAAGTGCTATCTTTCAATAGACTGATAAAGGTCAAAGGGTTTATTTGTTGAATAGCAATGTATAAGTGTACCTACCAGGATTCATATTAACATACAATAGTAACATATTCAATGTGAATAGAAAACAAACAGTTTTGATGTAATCTAGAGGCGACGGAGCAATAAAATAACTTTGCCTAATTATTCTACCGTCATGAGCATATGGCGAATATCTTCACGTATTTCATGCTTACATGTAAGCAAAGCAAGCATTTGGGGTACATGTAAATAATTTTAAATCTAGGAAGCAAAACCATAATATACATTCGCATATCATTTAAGTGTAAAAGAACGAATTTCCTTAAGCCAATATCCTTTAAGCCCGCTCAGTTACTTTTTGGACATTCATTAGGGTATCGATCAGGAAAAGTGATGGAAAGGTCTCCTTTAAATGTTTCAAAATGTTAAATGCGTCGATGATCGGGGACATTCGTGTATTCAAGAAGAAACTCCGCATAAGTATGGATTCTGTTAGCTTGATATAACTGATATCTTAACAAATCTTACCAAATAAAATGAGACAAATACTATAGTAGTGAGTATCTAATTCAAAATGGTGGACATGTTTGTTGTTGAGCGTGATGTCGTTACAAAATGGCGTCAGAGATAATTCTATTAATCCTTGCACTCGTTTCACAATTATATTTCCGTCCTTGTAGGGACAATGTTGTGTAAAATGGTATTGTTTAAATGAAAAAGGGTTTTTCCCATGAGTACCAAATTGTTTTACTCCCTTCGCCGAATAAAAATTAAGTTTAATCTGAATGCTATGAAAACAGATTAAGTGCAACTGTTTTGTCAGTAGAATTTATGGTATGACAATACATTATTGTATTATTTAAAGAATTCTGTGCTTAAGTGATGATTTGATATTGTATTTCAAAGTATCTTAATAATAATAATGATATACAATATTCGATATAGCGCGCTATCTAGCTAACCTAAGCTACTCTAAAACGTTTACAGTACATATATATACAATTTATACAATTAATACAATTAGCATAAACATCAATCGATACATTTTTTGAGGAATTCGCAGGAGCTGCTTTATCAGGCGCTAACTACTAGTTCCATGCTACCTGGCTAATGTCTCCATATGTGTGTATGCCTGCGTGTGTGCTGGAGATGTATTGTGTTTATTTTGTAGTAAGACCGTGCTTCCACCGGTATCAGATAAAGTGCCACCTTATTTGAATGCTACAGCACAATCCATCCCTGACCATTTGCTACTCCACCTGGGTTGTTGGAGTTGTGTTGGCAGGAGAATAACACTTTCTCTGAATATTCCATGTGTACGACGACTTTTGTTAGCCACTTGACCAATCCGCCCATTTCAAAGTATCAAAAATAAAGAAATATACCATATGTGAACAAAATGTACAGGAAATGATTTTGTGTATTTTGAATAAGGACGATTTTTGTTTGAAGTATTGGATGAAATTGAAAAATACAAAACAATTGGTGTCTTATAACAAAGAATTCAATCGAATAATGAATGGATAGTTATATCAAAACTGAATTAGAAAAACTAGGGTTAGCGTATGTATGGTATGGTAGTGAGAATGAAAAAAGTACATTAAAGAGAATAGAATATTGATCTAATGCTGTATACAACCAGGAATTGCTACTTAAAATTAGTCTAGTATCACGTGGTTACTTATACATGTAAATGATGGTATATGTTTACAGTATTATCTATGTAATGCTATTGATTCAGTGCATACAAAAAGTTTATCGAGCTCAAGACTATCATCGTATATTCTTAACACAGAGAGGGATAGACATGATAATATTTCGAGACATTTAGACAACTGTGTAGTTGTATAGTATTATTAGCAATATGGAAAAATATTTTAAAAGATATTTGTTTGTCTTTTTCTACCAAACTTGTAATGCAAAGTCCACGAACGAATCTACAGATTTCGACCTAATTGCACATGGATCTGTCATTTCTCACTTCCAGTAAGAAAGATCGTCAAACACGAGAAAAAAGGTAGATCAATAAATATCAATTGTTACTGTACCCGCGTACTTGTTGATAGTGTATCACGATCTGCTAGATTGCCTTTGACAACAGATTGTCATTCCTTTTGCCTTTGAGGGTGTTTTTGACTCTCGAGTTTGCTTTGATAAATTTTTAACACCAGAGACATTATTTATGGAAATTCATCGTTAGCATTCAGACTTGTTAAATAAATTTGTATATACAGTTGTGTGACCGCACAACGCATCCAAAAACACCGTGCGCACACCGTGCATTCATCGTTCACACACCGTCCGCACATCGTCCACACATGGTGCGCACAACTGTGCGATTAAACAATCGTTCGCTTCGTTGTGCGCTTTTCTCCGCACAACTGTGCGGTTTGGTACAATTTGTTGATCAATATTACGGGATGACAATATACGGAAGGCTCATCTGCAATAATGTACATTGTATATATTACTGTAATATCTCATCACAATAATAAGATTATGTACAATTCTTTTACAATGCGTGTTACACAGTGTTACAGTGACCGTTAGACTGTCAAGAATGAGATAAGCTCCTAGGTAACAAAACAGATAAATACCAATTGGATGAGTGACCGGAGCTTTACCTGACCTGTGCCTGACACATAGAGCTGATAACATAACCGGACGTTTAATATTTGTTATTTGCATTCGTTTTGGTCTATAGCTCCCATTCACCTGGTTTTCACACCTTAGCGAGTAAGTGCCCCAGGCGGGGGATAACTACGGTCCAGGTACAAGTACAAAGTGGCTATGTTTACCTGTATTGCCAAGACTGTGTTGTAATTTTACATGTGTCGATTAAGGTTGTTTAAAAAACACCGAGAACACCACTTCTAAATTTAAGAAAGTATAGAGAGAAAGATCAGCTTATAGTTGTAGCTAGAATATAGAACATACTAAATAATCACGTTTATGTGTTTAAGATATCCACTTTTAAACATGATAATAAAAGAATTTTGAAGATATGCACAGGTATTTTAATTTTCAAGTCATACATTGTTAACACCATCAAAGTCACGAAAATGTTGTTTCAACATAGATCGAATGAACTAAGCATTTCTAAACTGATGCAGTCTTACACAAATTGTTTATTTACTGATACATAATTTTCAATATGCATAGCTATAGATAAGACATAATATGTGTTATATTCAATTTCGCTATTACAAAACAATACACCCATATTAAATATGCAAAAGGTCATCAAATAAGATCATTATAATACCTCATATAAACTGTTGTTAGAATATCAGTTACAATGAAATAATTTCATATGGATATAAAAATGTAAAATATATTATGAAAACAAGATAATGCTTTACTACAATTTATGACTTCATGGAAATGATACATTTTTCAAGCCATTAATATATGCGATACAATATCACATGATGAAATACTGGATATCGATTGACTGTTTAAATAGATTCCATGTTTTTATTAGTCTTGATAACGGTCTGGTGTTTTTTCTCTTGACAACTACTAAAAGTATAATTAAATTAAGTCATCGAAAACAAACTTGCCAATAGTTTCCTGAGGTTGAGAGAAAGGGTTTGTATTCACAAGAAAAAACATATCAGATAAAAAGATATTCATTTCATGTTCAGATGAAAATTGTCACTGACGGCTGAGGTGCTTTCCTCCTTGAAACAATAACAATAAATGCAAACAACAATGGAGGAATAAATAAAAAACAAAGCGGTGCTCAGACACATGAACCAAAACAATTCTTGAAAGTAGGTCCTCTCGCGTGTGACGTCATGATTAGGATAGTTTGTTTCGCATCCTTATATATGCATGTACAGAGGGAGATACGTTTTATCCCTTGTAATCGAACATGTTTTGCAATCAAGCGTGTGCACTACTTAATTTTTAATAATCTATAAAGGTTGATAAGGTGTTTTTATGTCAGGGAAATCTTCCATGAACACAAATGTCATATTTTTCCAGGGAACACCCTAATTATTTGAATTCCATTGAAATCTGCATGGTGTTCAATATCAACACTGTTCCCCCAAAATACTAGACTTTTAAATGAAAAAGACTTATTTGTGCCTTACTAATATATTTCGTTTCTGAGGCCGGTATGTTAAAGATACTCTCTTTGGAAAAGAATACAGGTTGCAATATTTTTCGATTTCTAGTTCTTGTAGAAACTGAAATGATAGAACAGAAATAAATACACCATGAATACGTCTTTAAAAACGACTCGTAAGATATAAGGAATACCTTAATTTGTTATTGTCAGAAAAATGTCCACATGGGTACACAAATTACATTTATATTTCTACAAATGTTCCTTATTGATTAGATATCACAAATAAAAGCTCAAGTTAATTTCTTTCAAAACGTTGGAGAGTGGACAATGCGTCCTAGATGTTCTATTTCAAAAGTAACCAAGGTATCCATGTGACATTATTTATATATATATTGAAAGAATAAAACAGATGTTTCACACGCATCATAGTGGAGGACCTACTTTAAATGATAAACATTCAGTATACTTACACAAAGTCCCGAGATTTATTTTATAAAATGTGTTGATATTACAGCCATATATTACTTGGTATGTTTATCAACAGTACTATACCTACTTTGAATTAAGACTAATTTACCACAATGTAATAAATAACGACAAAATAAATATTAAGAATGCGATATGTTAGAGGTAGCGAATTGTGTATTGTGTATTCAGAAGGACATCATTAGTTAACCGATTATAGTTCTCACAGCATTGTCTGTTGTTTCTTGTCTGGATCCAGTCATCATTGTATTCAGCAGTATCTTGGCATCAACAAGGTAGCTGTGCACAAATGGCAGCATATTTGTTGCCGAGGTTGCGATACTATCACATGTTGAAGGTAGCGTGACGATGCTATGGTGAGTCAGTC